AGGAACCAGCAGGCACACGTTTGTGCAAAGCCGTCTGGCAAGGCATGCCGGTGTGACTAGGGAAGAATATGGTGAATCATCTCGAAGGATATATCATGTGATTTAATTGATCTTGCCTCAATTTTTCTCAAGACTGCTGGAGTTATTAATACCGTTCATATGAGGGCAGGATTGCCATGTTCGTCGTCGAGACCATTTGTTTTCGGGGCCATCCACGTGCTCTGTGCATGGGCCAGCAAAGTTGTCTTTTGATATCAGCATCTCAGCCTCAGGCTAACACGCTTTTCTCGAATGGTACCTGCTGTTGATACTTGGAAGGGATAGGGTATCGGCAGCATCGAAAGCCGCGAATCGGGCTCGAGAATTGGAAATTGCGACTGGTGATCATGCTCGTTTTGTTTCCACCATACCAACTATGCGACGGTTCGCCAATATTTCGCTTGCAGAAGCTAGCTACTCACGTTTATCTCGCATGGCTTTACTCCCATCTGAATAGTTCTACACAATCATTACAGCGCACAAAAATTCGAGGGCACCAGTAGCAGACAGATACAGCACCAAATAGAAAAGGGAGCTTAAATTGTGTGAAACGGAGATCCGGAAAACGATGGAAAGACCAGACGGCAGGAATGACGGGAAAACCTCGGTATCCCCATCCCCTGTCGTCATGCTTTCGCAATTGTGGAAAGGGCAACGCTAGTCCAAAGGGGGAAATGATTTTGATCCTCCTCTTACCTTCGCGTCTTCCGAATACCGTTCAAAGGAACACATCGCTCAACATCATCAGCAAAAAATCATACAAACTCACGAAAAGCCACCACACGATATAAGGGATGATATTGAAATCAAATTTGAGGTCAAAAGTCTTGATATGGACCGGAGGTTGACAGTTCCACCCCGCAGACCACGATCCGCTGACCGCGCCCTCACTTGACACCAATTAACCACGAAGTCACGTGATGAGATCGTCACACGTTCCCGCTCTGTAGCGGAGCTCGCCTCCAAAGGCGCCGCATCATCAGCGTTGCGACTCACGCAAGTATCGATGTAAAACCTTCTCTTGAGGCACCCCGGCGCCTTTGCACCACGAACTTGCGGAAGGCCCCTCCCACAACGCAAGTTGTTCGACCTGGCGCAACTGGCGACAAATGCGACGGAATTGGATGTACGCGCCTGGCCCGACACCTTGCGACCGACATGAGCAGATCCATCCTGCAGAGCTGTCGTTTCTGGCCAGTCGCATTGGCGCAACGCGATGCGCCTGAAGCATCTCCTTTGTTTGTTTTGATCAAGAACAGAATTGCGACTCGTCGGACGTCGGGCCATGTCTCTTGTCAGCCTCTCCAGCTGCATGATGGAAAACGAGGGGAACCATCAGGGACCGGCTGGGATGTGCGCAGACAATTAATATTTCTGCATGATGAGCACAACTTCTCCTTCCCACCCCTCATCGATGACCCGCCACGCAAGCTGCGCTAGACGGGACGACCTCCTTTCCAGGCACAAGGTCGAAGGCTCGAGGCCCGGGGCTGCAACTGGACGGAGGGCGCCGCAATTGCATCTGATTGGATTCGGCGCATTTCCCTTTCGCACGCGCACTCTTTGCTCATGCTAGGCTCTACAGTCGCACAGCACCACCTTCCATCACCTTGCGACGGAGTGTCTTGGAATGGGCCGCACAGCTCAGCTTGACTGACGGATATCATGACCATTCCGTCGCGACTCGCCATTGATTTTCGAGCATCGGGGGATATTGCGTAACAGTTTGAGAGGGAACTACTAGCTCAATACGAAAGCTCCCAGGGCTTAGCACATATGCGACGGCTCCGAACATGCCCCCTGCAACCTGTCGCAGACTTCAAGCACAAAAACTGGATACCCACCGGCAGTGCAAAGCCAGAATGAGCGCACGGTACGCCAGCTGTCCTGGAAGACCCTTTGCCTGTCGCATTGCCTCTTCTCATTGTCTTTCAAGCTGTCGCGCTCAGCAGAGCAGTATCGACCAACAGCTTCTCAGGCTTGACGGGAGAGAAATATTAAAAGAGTACGAGGGGGAGCGAGTGTGTGCGTTTGTCTACCTTGACGGTATTCGAAGGCGCGCGCGTGTGCGCAATCGCACACACACAGTCGCAATCCATTCCGACTAGCTCACCCCATCCGATGCTCCACGACTCACGAGACCTTATGGCCTCAGAGACTCCCATGGAAGAACGGTGAAAGAGGGGCAGACGTGGCGTGGCAAAAGCTACCCAGCCATGCGAAAAGAATAGTAGGTCGAGTGTGACGCACCAGGGTCGCAGAATTTGACTGATGCCGCCTCCGCTCTATCGTTTCTCTCCGCCAAATGCGTTGAAGCCACCATGCGCGGGAAAGCGCCGATCCTCCCGGTAGAATCCAGCGACACACACACTCCCACACAGCTCCATTTCTAGCTCGGTGGTACCCGTTTGTATCCCAAACCAGCAACCGGCAGCAGAGCCCGCGATTGACAAGATGGATTCAAGCGACCAATCGAAGACGAGTCGCAGATATCGTTAGGTTGGGCTGGTCTGTGTTGTTTCTCTGAGTTTTGCGCTGGTGGCGGTTGTGGATGAACATGGCATGGCATCGCATCGTACCGGGATAGGGTCCACGAGCTAATCGGGTCGAATGGGCGCAACGACTGGGCCGACACGCAGACCACGACTGCTCCTGAATCCTGAGAAATATGTCGATTCGCTGTCGGAATCTTCTTCGCCTCCTCAAACTCCATCAAGAGGGCAAAAACAGGGTCCAACAAAAAGGCATCGACTGTTCCATTCCCACAAGCCGACCAGTCCAAAGTTCAAACCTCGACGTGGCAGTGGAGCCCCAACCTGCGAGGTAACGCAAAACAAAGAGCAACAAGCTGCGTTCGGGAAGGATAGCTCATCCCTGCGAGGAGATCTGGAGCCTGGGCGCAAAAGTCTCGCCAGGTATCGCACACCGTTCTTTCGAGTGCGGCCGGCTCCTGAACTCCCCCGATTGGCGAAGAGGGACTTGTTGGGGCCTGCAAAACCCAGTGCCAGTTCATCAACACTTCTCCGCACTGCGCTCACTGGCAGGGCCGCAAAGGAAGAGATACACACTATACACTCAAGAGGCAGGCGAAAGAAGATGCGTGGATGCGTCGAGCGATCCACACATGTCGTCGTCCCTCCATGCCATCCCATTCTGTCGCAAAGCGCGAGAGAGAGAGAGAGGAGGGGGAGGAGAGGTGCCAGTGACTGTTGTCGGTGTCACCTTTCTATCTACCTGAAGTGGGGATTTCTCAAGGCCAAGCCGTCGAGCCTTTGGAGCAAACGCAGCAGGCGAGCGGAGGGGAACTCGGGATGACGGCCAAGACCTTGCCCATTTCCTCGGCCTAGTTCTTTTATGTTGTCTATTCGTACCTCCATGGTGATTCGGCAGCGACATGACACTTGAAACCCCCGACCAGCGCATACAACCGTAACATGACGGCCTGAACCAATCTTGCTTCACGCTACAAACCGTCCCCCCAGCCACCTCATCTATCAAGCTCGCGGATCGAGCATCTAATCATGTCTGGTTCCTGGTCCTACTAACAGAGCCAAAGATAGGTATGCGCAGGTGCGAAAATCCTCGTGCGCATATCACTTCCGTGCGAAGGCGCACTGGGGTCATGCTGTGCATAGAGAGCAGAAAGGTCCGGACAGCAAGTGGCCTCGATACCGTGTACTATCGGATGTCTGCCCCTCGCCATTGAATAGACATAGACTTTGGCCGTCTATCTGGGACAGACCTATATGTTGTTGCTTTCTCGGCCCCATGCTGCTGGACGGGGACCCATCCGAACAACACCATGAAACGAGCTGGACGGGGGGGTTATCGATATCGATGAACCAAACAGTGCAGCAGCAGGACTCTCCTCTTCCTCCTCCTCCACCACATAATCAAAACATGCGCCGGGCGAACCCTCTGTAATTCAATCAGCGTGTTGACAGTTGAAACCAGTGCAGACCGAGCAGACCGGCGCTGGAGTCTCTACCTGTGCCATGCTGGTAGCCGCCTTAGCCAACATTCCGCCTCGCCTCGTGCATGAGCCAGCCGCGCTACGACCATCCTTCTCTGGCCGCTATCTTGTCTTGTCCCTCTTGGTCCCCTGATATGCGAGACTCGTGGCGCCTTGAGCTGGTCCGAACGACAATGCCATTGGCTCAATGACAAGGTGGCTCGCAAACCCCGTTCCCTTGCTGAGATCCTGCAGTTTTGTCTACTGTACATCTGACAATGGATAGTTCATATGCTGCTGACTAAGAAAGTCCTGCTGGATGGCAATCGGATCTGGAAATTCACGGTCATCGATATCAAAAGGGATAACCGACCCCCGGGACGATCGCAGGACGGAGCAAGTCTCGTAGACGGCTCCGTGAGAGACGAAGGGGCCCCGGGGTTTGAGTGGCCGTATTTTCATTTCACCTAATAAGACTACATTCTCCGCCAAACAAGCTGCCGCCGCTGGTTAGTCGCGGATATCATGGCGCTAGGTGGCATCCGCCTAAGACGGGTTCGTGGTCTTTGCGCCGTAGAGCAGGTACCGTGCTTTGGGCTGGCTCCTCTCTATCTCTCTCTCTCTCTGCCCGTCTCTTTGGAAATGGGAAGACATTAGGCGGTTTTTTTTCTCAGCTGAGGTATCCCGTACCACGGTGGGAGAACGATCTCAATGGTTGGGGACGGATGGATTGGCGCCAAAACACTGGCACACACACACACACACACACCATCCGGCATCCATACCGGAACTTGCAGCTTCTTTGGCGCCTTTTTTTTGTTGGAGCATGGCATCACGTGGTGGTGTACCATCCAGGTAGGCAGTAGGTCAGCAATGAAAGACCCAAGATCAACAGAAGGGCCGGGGTTCATGGGTCCAGGTATCTTTGAGGCGGTTTAACTTGGAAACGGGCGAGTTGAAAGCTGGACCCCTCCCCCCCCCCCCCCGCGACAATGGGCCATCGCGGTCCTCAATTGTGTGACGGAGAGCATTTGTCGCAAAGCGCATTGCAAGAGGCAGTCGAAGAAGGGAGAAATGCCGATAGCTGGCCCAGACCGTACCATACCGAGGACAGCAGCTTTCCTTTGCGCCAAGATTGGCCATGCGATTCCGAGTAGCACATCGATCCCTCCGTCTGATGCGATAAACCCTGGCCTGGGGCCGGTTTTGGTTGCGGGTAGGGTGGGATGGCGCTTTTTTCCTGTTGCGAAGCGCCGAATTGTCCCATTGAGCCGACGAATTTGATATGAGGGGAGAGAGATAGTGATACGCTACGATACGGCACGGGAAGAGAGAGAGAGAGAGAGAGAGAGAGAGAGAGAAAAGATACGTATCTGATTCTGCAGGGCACTATAACTTTTCATATTTGGTGAGATGCCCCGGAAGGACTCTGCGGAAGACGAGTCGTGAAATCGGGGTCCGATGTCGCGCGCATCCCACGTTGAAGTAGTTCGTACGGACAATGGCGGGCGCATTGCGCCGCGATATCAATTATGAATAAGTCTTCATGTTCGCTGACGAAATTGCGCACAGCCCCGAAGATCCGGAGGATGCAATTACAGATTTACGCAAACAAGGTCCAACAATTCACAGCAATACTCGACAGGAGGCTGGTCGCAAAGTCGTATATTAGAGAGAGATGGGGCCTGAAAGGCCCGCGAGGTGTGTGAGTGAGTGTGTATGCGTGTATGTGTGTGTGTGTGTGTGCCAGGATTGACGAGGTTTCGATGGCTCAGGCTTCCCAAGACCGGACAGGGATGGCTGGGCGAATTGGAAGAGACATAGTTGGGTGAGGTGAAGGTGACGGGATCGGCACCGTATGAATTAGACGCTGAAGGTGCCAAAAAGGACCTTGGAAAAGGTAAGGTTTTTGTGTCTTGTTTGCTCGCGGGGAACGGACCGGTTTGAGCCAGTTTGACTGGCCCATCAGTTTCTCTCTGGCATTTCGAGAGAGTGACTCGGGTGTGCGTGTGTGTGCGAGTGAGTGTGAGTGTACACACCTTATCTGAACAAGTTCGGGTCGCCTTGGGGTGAGCCGACACGAGGCGTGAGGGTCAAGTTGCTATTGGTGAATGGATGAGAGTATGTCCATGTAATGAGGTGTGGTAAGGTGAGGTCAGATTCAGTACGAGGCACACAACTCGCGACGTATGTTCCTTCCACAAGGAGGAGCGCTGGCTCGTCATCGGTACGGAACGAATGCATATTCATGTGTGTGAAAGTGAGTGTATGTCTCTCCATGTGTGGCTTTTGATAGTAAAGTACGGGGCGATATGTCATGCTCCCTTTCCACCGTTTCGTATGAATATAGATATACTCCGTACAAGGCGGAGAAGGATTGTTTGTTCATACTTATATGTAAATCTCGCCGTCTGGCCCTTTTATGTGACCTGCGCCTTGCTGCCTCTGGTCCCTCACATAAAAAAGTATCGGTAAATTGAAGTGAGTCGAAATGAATCGGGGGGAAGGACGCACAAAACGAGATGGAGCACGTCAGTCCCTTGAATCCATACTCCGTACCCCGTTACCCCCTGTCCCAAAGAACAGGATTCAAAAGTATGCCCTGCCAGAGATTGAGGCTTCTAGAAGGACTGTTTGAGAGAGAAAGCAGGACTGGTGAAGGGAGGCCCAGGTAATTACGGCTAGGCGAAGAGGCCATCATATCCGCAAATAGCCACTTGGCGAGATTTGATGGATCAGACCAGCCGGTCCAGCAGATCTTGACTTTGACCGCCTTACCACATACACTTCGTACTCACACAGTCACACGCACCCTTTCTCTCACTCGCTCTCTCCTCTCTCCTTCTCACTTTATCGGTTGATCGCAGGCCAGGTATCCGTAGATCGATTACCGGTAGGCTCAAGTTAAAGACAGAAGAGCCAGATGGCGAGAAAAATGCCACCAAGCCCCTCCCCCCCCCCCCGGTGTACGGCCTGCTAGGCCCTTGTCCGGATCCGCTTCCGCTCACGAAGAAGGAGAAGCCTTTCCATACGGATACAGTGTCGCTCCTTCGTTGTGCGCGCAGCGGCGGCGGCGGCGGCGGCGGCGTGTGGCTCCCAAGTTGCGCAAGCATGAGCGACTTGGGCCTCGGTGCGTCGCCGTCGTCCCTGGCCGCATAGCACCGCCTAGAAACCCGACGAAGGACTCCAAGATGTTCGCATATATGGTAGTCATCATATTGACCTCGAAAAACATAGGCCCAAGGGTCTTGTCGAGACGCAGAGCAAATGCGCCTGCGACGTGGAGGTACCCTTTTCACTCGTCACGCTCAGGTTCGGAGTGTGTGAGGTGACCTAGGAGGTGACCTAGGAGAATAGGTAGCCAGACGGGATGAGCGGGTCCGGCAGGTAGGCAGGTGCCACTGCCCTCCACTCTGCCTAAGCCTGAAGGTGCGGTGAGGTCCCACGAGTGCGGCAAGGCCTTGTTCTGGGGCCAACTAGCCACCTGCCTGGCGATTGCCCGGAAAGGGGGAGGAGGCGATATGCGTTGGGGGATGATCCAGTGCTGTAGGGACCTGGCCATAAGCCACAGTGGAACATGGCCCCTGTGAGGTCCCTCAACTTGGGGTGATACGTGCCTAAGCTACAGCACCAAGTGCCCTGGAGCAAAGGCAATTGGGCATGACCCGCCAAGGATGAGGAATCGAAGCTGGCACAGTTCATCGCGCACTGTCACCCAAGGGAAGTTACTGCCGGCACTTGAGGGGGCCCCGGTCACCACGACAGTGGGCTGCTCCTGCAACTATAGGGCCTTTTCCTCATTTCATGTGCGCTGTACTGCGTGTTGGTTAGCGGAGGTAGACTGTCGTACGGGAGGCCCAGGGGGTCCAGGTACCTAGCCACTCCATCCCCGCCAGGAGCAGAGACAAACCTAACCAGAAGGTCAGGTACTTGACTGACGGTGCGGCGATGTGGACGGTACCTGACCTGACGGGACCAGACCTGGAAATTGGGAAACTGGAAACCGGACTGGACTGGACTGGACCTGGGACCTGGACTTGGACTGAGGTGACTGACGGACCGCAGACACAAAATCGTAACCTCTCAACTTGGCTCCTCTTTTTCCCTCTCATGCACATTGCACACAAACCTGCGAATTGCCCGGCAGAAACAATCATCCAACACCACTGTCATCCTTCCAAAGTGAGTCTGAACCGATCCTATGGTCTTTGCGATCGATGTCTTCTATCCCTTTGCACCATTCTGCTACAAGATCCCGAGTCCCGACTCTCCTGTGCTTCCGCCGGGCTCAATGTCGAGAGAGGTTTGATGTCTGGACTGGGGTCTGGCTCGCTCTCTCTCTCTCTCTCTCTCTGGCTGTGCTTCTTCGCTACTACGTCTTGCCGTGCGCTCCCCGACCCAGTCCCAGCTCAACCTCTCCTCTTTCTCTCCTACCACTCCTCTTCCTACCTTGACCATACTTCTGCTTCTCCTCCTCTCTTCACTCCCGATACACTCTATCACACCGTCAATTTCGTCCATTCGGTCCTCATCCTCCATCCCATGGCTAATCTTTTGCAGTCCATGCCCTAGACTCCATATCACCCCGTACTCCTTTCCTCAACCATCGTCCTCTCCGACCGTTCGCTCCGGCAGCGTCCTTGGTCAGATCGCCCCGTCTGGCGCTGACCGCACGACGACACAGGACCCTCGATATAACGTCCATGTTTGATAATTCGGTGGATTGATACCTCATTCCGTTCCTCGTCCGACTCAAGTTTCGGCTTGCTCGTCGTTGATACCCTTCGTCCCGCCCATCGACCGCCGACTCAGGCTCAGGGTCCCAACCTTTCCGTGCCAACTCTACGGAAACCCGCTCATCGCACACCACCCCATTTTCCATCAAACTTCTCTCGCTCGACATTCCTCCATTCAAACCCATCGAATCAATACCATACATCACAATGACGAGCATGTCTCCCACAAGCGTCGTCAACGGCGGTTCCGCGGCCACCTCAAACCAGGGTAGCGTCTCGCCCCGGCAGACGGTGTCGCCCAAGAACGTCGCATTTGAACTCCTCTTCACCGAGTCACCGCAATACAGGGCGCGACTCCCCATGCGAGTTCAAATATATCCTCATGACACTACCGACTCCATTGTTACCACCGTCAAGAATTTTTACGGTCTGTACGGTGGCCCGACCGGCTCAAAGGGCGTCAGTTTCGAGGACGAAAATGGTATAACCCTCATCGCCCGATACGAGAACTTCCGCAACAACATGGTTGTCTACGTCAGAGTCATTGAGGAGTCCCCCTCTGCTTCTAGCCCCTTTGTGCCGCCCACATATCATAACCCTCCCCCCAGCGCTCAGCAATATTTCGAGGGCAACGGTTATCCGCTGCAGCCTCCACCGCGCTTCGGCCAAGAAATCTCTAGGCCTTCATCGAGCACCTCTCGGAAGCGCAGCCCATCCCCCAATGCCGGACGCGGCCGGCGTTCCGGATCTGCCCATACGAATTCCAAGAAGGGTCGATCCCGCTCTTCCAAGAATCGGGACACTGCCGCCTCCAATGGCCACGCTGATATCTACAGTGATAGCGTCAACGGATACAGCAGCGGTGACGGCGCTCCTGGGTCCAGCTCTAGCAGAATGAAGGAGCAGATTGGCAACACCGAAATCAGCCTCGAAAACATTGTTGAGGGAGGTCGTCGCAAGCGGGCCAAATTTGAAAGCTCGGTAAGTTTGCCTGACCGCACGGGTCTTGGACAATATCCTTTTCTTCTCTATTCTTGTTAGTCTGGGCCTTTGTACTCATCCTGTTCCATTCAGGAACTCCCCTTATTTGCGCCTCCTCAGATGCCAGCGGCTACGTCGAATCCGTCCGTATCTCCTGCCCGCCGCGCCGAGCCTCAGCGAGCCTCTCTGCCATTTGTCCACCCGGGCCAGAACCCTTTCACGAACCCGATGCCTCTGCATTCCCCGCAGAGCCACAATAATGGATATCCGCAAGGTGGATTTTATGCGACGCCGTCGTCTGAACGCCACGGTCGCGGTAGCATCGGATACGCTGGGCAAACCGGCAACTACAGCGGCATGAGCGGCATTCTGCCCACTCCAGACCCCACCGTTGGCAGCTGCATGTCAGAAGAGGATAAGGATGTTGCCATCCAGCTTATGCGCCTGGGTGAAATGTCAAACATTTCTCATGGCCGCACCTCTGCGTCCACGCTGGACGACACCTTCAGCGGCCGTGCCGACGCCGCCTCTTCCACTGGAGCCACTAGCGATGGCGAAAGTGAGAGCGACGAGGAGTCAGCCGCCCGGCGCCAAAAGCTGGATGCTGCTGGTGTCATGCGCAAGATCTACCAGACTACAGAGAGCCACTTCATTCCCCAGCCCAGCATCGAAACTCCTGTTGAAGACGTCCGTGTCGAGAAACCTACCAGTCACGTCGTCAATGGCGAGGGCAAGCCCGAGGTGCTGAAGAACAAGACCAACCTTCCGGATGCCAAACCAAAGACACAACTGCCCAGCTCCAAGCCCAAGACCAAGGTCAGCAAGGTTCCTCGGCCTACTATTCCTAAGCCCAAGAAGGCTTCAGCCCCGGCATCCATTTCGGCTCCCGCTCCCGCTAGCAACGGGCCCATGTCGCCGGCCTCTCTGCCTCCTTCGCGCAAGCCATCAATTGCCTCTGCTGCTGCTGCTACCTCGGGTGCGCCCGGCGAAGACGATCAGCTTGATCTTTCTGCCAAGCCCCGCTGCCAGCGATGCCGCAAGAGCAAGAAGGGCTGTGACAGGCAGCGACCTTGTGGGCGATGCCGTGACGCCGGCCTCAATGCTGAACAATGCATCAGCGAGGACGAGGGCAATGGACGCAAGGGCAGGTATGGACGACACATGGGCGTTCCTATTAAGAAGGAAGACATTGTCAACCCTACGCAGCCTATTCTCCTGCCAGCTGCGCCAATTGCCACGACGGCCGCGATGGCCGACAAGAACAAGAAGCGCAAGCGGTAGAATGGCCGACTCCTGGCGGAGTGAGCACAGCCCTGCGCAGCATCACTCAGAAGAGGGTTGGCGAGTCTATTTCACAACTCATTGTCACAAAGTTTTGGACCACTTTTCTGCGGCGACAAAGGTTTACCGGCTTACCGGCGTCTGGCGACAAAGATGATTGAAATTGGGCGAGGCGCTCGGACGGTACCGTCTCACGACATGCCTCTCATCGTCGCAATTGTCGGATGTTTGTCACCATGACCATCCAACAGCACTGGCAACACGGCAGAGACTCGTTGGTGAATACCATTGAGAATCGCCGGGTGAGGCCGGTTGCGCACACTCCTTTTGGCGTTTATGGTCTCTTTAAATGGGAAGCGGTGTTTTTTTTTTGTAATTCCATTTACTGGCTTGCGCGCGATGTCCTTTTCATTTCCTACTACATGTCTTTCGAGTTGTGGCGAGGGTGCTACAGTTTTGGCGAAGTTGTGCAACTGTACGATGTGGTGGAGCGGCTGAAGGCCAGAAAAGCAAGCGAGTATATTGGAATACTTGTGGGCGCGTGCGCAGCGCAAATGGATCAGTGTTAGGATGTGGAAGATCAAGGTTTCAATGCAAAGTGAGGATGGAATTGGGAGGCTACAGGTGCGGAGGAGAACAAAAGGCAAGGATGGGTACAATGGCGGGCGAGAACGGTTCCGAGGCTCACGCAATAGTCAAATTGTCCGGGCGGAAGGTGGATCGCATGCCTTGGAGGTTTGTGTTTTCCTATATGTGCGCAAGCGACATGAAGCTTCTCTGCGTGAGCGAGCTTGCTTCTGTTTCTTTAGTTCCTCTCTGGATGCTATTTGGAGGCGGGCAACAGGAGAAGATGCAGCTACGATACGACTGTTTTTGTTAGTGGCAACGGTTCTGTAGCGAAAGCCAAAGAGAGAGAAAAAAACATACTGATCATGTACCTTTGGTGTTTGCGGCGATGCGGCGCAATGCAATTAATGGAATGCGACAACGGTGAAAAGTGAATATGCGGGTGCGATGACATTGCATCTTCCGGTGCGGAGCGGGGATAGAGCAGGACGGAAGTCGTTGAAAGATGGATGCGCGGCTAGTCCGTTTATGGCACTAGCGTGCGGTTCTCGCCGTTGCATCCCGTTCCGGCTCGGGCGGGGAGGGGGGGCGTATGGATTGGATGGTGTGGCTGACGTCTGTTAGCCGCCCTGTCAGATGGGGAAGGGCAGAAGCACAGGCGCACAGTCGCACAGTGTGCGGCGGCAGTTGCGAGCCGTGCGCGCGATAGAGCAGAAGCTCGGGCTTCTCGCTGGGTGGGAGAGTTGGCTGGTGCGCACTCTCGCGCGCTAAAGAGGTACTTGAGCTTGGGGCGCAAGAGCTTCCGCGATCCACACGGGGAGAGGTACTGTTGAGAGGGAAAGCTCCAAGCGTGAGGTACCTCTCTAATTACGTCATTCCATGTTTTGCAATGAGTGCTTATTTACCCCGCACCTCTTCGAGAGCTCCCCGCACTTTTTTTTTTTTTGGTCAACGATGTCACGGTCATGCAAGTTTTGCGCGTGAAGAATTTCGCTTTGCTACATGTTGTCGTCGGTGAACGACAATTGTGTTGAAGAGTCGTGAGGATGATGGTGCGATGCAGGGTTTGAGTGCGTGCATGGCGACGCGATTGAGTCAGCGTGGCGCAAATTTGCGATCGCGTTGAAGCAGTCTCTTGTGTTCTTTTTTTGCCGATGCATGCGCTACATGACACGAGGAATATAGCGAGGCCAAGGACGTTGCGGGATTGGTACTTTTGCATGAAGAATGGTTGAAGGCGGTGAGCGCGCGTTGCTGGCGGTTGTGGGTTAGAGGCGAATTAGAGTGTGTGCATATGTATCGCATGCGTTGCGCAAAAAAAAGGAACGAATTGAATCGTCTTGAAGTCGCGTCTCAAGGTGGTTTTTGTTATTTGTTGTTGTTTTGTTTGTTTGTTTACTTTTATGCGCTGATTTACTTTTACCGTTTTTTGGACGTTTTGGAGAGGCGCAGGCGCAGCATGGAGGTGCGAGCTTCCTTGGATTGGAGGGATTTGGGTGTTTCACTGGTGGCAGTGCTTATTCTGGCGGAGGGGGATGGGACGTTTAGTCGTAGTGCCTGCAGTCGCGAATCTTGCTGCGACACCAAGACGAGCAGCTAGCTGGAGCAGGTGGCAAAAAAACGCGGTACATATAGTGCATGCAACAGGCCAGCATATGGATAAGATACGGATAGGTAAGGCAGAGCGAGAATAGCACAAATGGGGGCTTGCCTCCCCTTCTTTTTCCCCTGGAACCAAAAGACAAGGCCAGCGACCAACACCGCAAGGTGACAAGGTAAGGTAGAGAAGACGCAGGGATGGAAAAGGATCGGGGGGTGTCATCAGGTCATGATCCGCGGCGCGTTGTTGTGTTTGAGACTGATTGGTGACGACACTTTTTCACACGCTCTTCTCGGAACTTCGGATTGGACGGCACTGGGCGGGTTTAGAGGTCGCGTTGGGATGGAGTGAGGTGATGCGCAATCAATCTGCGCCCGACGGTATGGATCGATCATCGCAGTAAGGTAGGTAAGGCAGCACAGCGAAAGCCTCAATGCAAGGCGGGAAAGAATGATGGGAATCGTGCGGGAGAAAAGGAAAGAGAAAAGGGAGAGATGAAGAAACGTGTTAGCTGCAGCGTTTATTGCTTCTTCGATCGGGGGCTCTTTTGCAAATCGCATCTTGACCACTCGGTAAGGTATCCTCATTGTTAGCATGCGATGCGACGCGACGGGGCGAAGACGGTGGGTTGGATGAGGACGGATGCACGTTTAAGGTAAACTAAACGGAACGGCAGGTTGCGCCCCGCATCCGCGATTCGGCGCGCCGATGGGGGTCAGCTTTTTGTTGGCGTTCGGGTTTTCTTGGAGCGGGTCCTAGGAAGTTGCAACCGAAGGCGGCCCGTGCGATACCTCCGCTGTCGCTGCTTTTTCCAATGTCACTAAACCGATGGTTGGTTTAGGAAAGCCGGCGGAAGATAAGATATTATCTTATCAGTCCCGAGGGACCTTGAGGAACGAAAAGTCTTTGCATGACGAAGAACACAACAATGGTTGATATGTACACATGCTGCCTTACCTTACTCTGGACCGAATAAAGATGTGCTTTCTGCACGTTTGAGTTAGAATATGTACCAATGACTGATCGATCATATTTCATCTCCAGACTCATACGGCGCTTTCGTTCTTCCTGTGCCCATGCCTCTCCTTCTTTCTTTCTAGCCCGTAGCGGCAGAGCTATCCACAAAGCACGCTATCGTAGTAGTAAGCTGTACGGACAGATAGATTTGTCGAGCCAGGTCAATTGCGGACCTAGAATGTCTACAATGCAACTCGGCCTTTTGCCAAGGTAGCTTGAGTAGTGGTCACAACCCCCCCAGAACCACCAAGCTACCTTTAACGTCCAATGATAATGAGTGATCGAGTCACGCAACTCTCGAAATTTCGAGGACCTCTCTGGACAGGACCAGATGAGAATTTCGGGTAGGTACGGAGACTTACCTGATAGTTGGGACTTGAGAGTGCTGAGACGAGAGAGAGAGATGGAGAAATAAGAAATATGCGCATGACCAATATACCCCCGGTACTGCCCTGCAGCCCTGTAAAGCAAGCAAACCGCAATATCAACTGGAGCAAACTTTTGTTCTTCAAGTTCCAACTTTGCCCAGTCGGGTGGGGTCTTCCGCTTCGGAAGGCTTTCCCCGGGACTCATACTACCGAAAATATTACCGCGTCAAAGTCTCACTCGAGGCATCCGGTCGGAGCACCATCGCCCCTCGGCGAACACTCCGTCTCGCCGAAGACTCCTAACACTCCGTGGTAGTACCTAGGCCGTAGGTTAAGATAGGGCGCGAAAGGCGTACGCCCAAGCCGACATGTTGGGCGCCGAGTCCCGCTGCTATGCAGAGGAGGGAGGGACGCTCTCCCGCTCCCGGCGGTCACACCGCAGGCCCGGAAATAAGATCCCGGCCGTGTTTGCTACCATTGTTTGCTAACGATTCCCCGTTGGCTGCATTGTGAAACTGCTTCCGTAGACGGGAGGTTCTTCAATCTCGGCAGTCGGGGAGAAAGATAGGGCGATTTCGGCGCGATGGCTGGGTTGCAATTTTTCTCGATTTTTTCTATTTTTCTATCACTTTCCTTTACTTATTACTAGTAGCGTCCGCTTGGGCTATGACTCCGTGACGAAAGAAACGACTTTTCTTTTTTGGACCTCCTCGCTTTACATCCCTAATATCTAATATTACCAGCTGAGAAAAAGGACAAAACGAAAAAAAGACTTTTCAGGCCCCCTTGGATCGATGGAGGACCTGACTCAACATATTTAACCACATAGTCGTCTCGTCTTTTTAACCGTCTGTTTCCCGGGATGGACATGCCATCATCACAACATTCGTTTGACCAAGATAAGGGCGTCGTCACCATGTCCGACACATCAGACTCATCGAGGAGCCGCGGCCCCAGCGCCGAACTCCCTACCACCACAGAGAAGGAGAAGGAGATCCAAACAACCACCGGCACGGCCACCGTAACCGACGAAGAGGAGACCTCGGAGGCAGACGAGCACCAAGTCCGCGAATGGTCCGCCGAGCACGACCTCGTCTACCCGGAAGGCGGCTGGACGGCCTGGTCCCAGGTCCTGGCCGGCAACATGCTCAACGCCCTAGCCTGGGGCTACCCGGCCACTTTCGGCGTCTACCAGCTCCACTACACCGAGACCCTGCGCCTGCCCGCCTCGCAGGTCTCGTGGATCGGCTCCGTGCAAATCTTTTTGACGTTCGCCGTCTGTACCGTCTCGGGCCGGCTCACGGACGCCGGGTACGCCCGGCACGCCGTCTCCGTGGGTTGTGCCTTTGTGGTGTTTGGATCATTCATGACGAGCCTGTGTACGAGGTATTGGCAGATTATGCTCGCGCAGGGGATCTGTACCGGCCTGGGGCTGGGCGTGCTGTTCATGCCGGGCGTGGCTATCATCGGGTCGTATTTTAAAAAGAGGCGGTCTCTAGCGCTCGCTGTTTCGGCGACGGGGACGGGGGTGGGGAGTTTGATCTTCCCGTCGACGCTTCAGTATCTCATCCCGCAGGTCGGGTTCCCCTGGGCTGTACGGTGCTCGGCGTTCGTCGCGCTCGGCGTGGCGACGATTGCTATTGCTCTGCTGAGACCTAGACTCCCTCCGAGAAAGGCTGGGCCTCTGTTGGAGTGGTCGGCCTTCCGGGAGCTGCCGTACATCTTGTACACCCTGGGAGTATTCTTCTACTTCATGGCGCTGTACTTTGGCTTCTTCTACGTAAGTTTGACCAGGAGTCGTGTTTTGTGATGCTTTTCGTGTGCTAACGGAGGCAACAGATCAACACATACGCCCGCAAGGTCATAGGATTCTCCACAACAGAGTCGGTAACGCTTCTCCTCATCACCAACGGAATGGGCATCCCGATCCGGCCCATCGTTGGCTGGCTAGCCGACCGCCACGTCGGCCCGATCAACATGTTCGTCATGACCATGTTCCTTCTGGGTTGCATGGAATTCGCCTGGATCGGCGTGGAGACGAGGGCAGGCATGTACGCCTTCAGCGTCTTCTACGGCCTGTCCAACGGCGCGACGCAGGGCGTTTTCGTCGGCTCGACCGCCAGCCTGACGACCGATCCGCAGAAGATGGGCACGCGGTTCGGCATGGTCGCCACCATCTCGGGTTTCGCGACGCTGGCTGGTCCGCCGATCGCGGGCGCCATCATCGACAGATCAGGGGGCTCGTATCTCGGGGCTCAGGTTTGGGGCGGCGTCATGATGATTGCCGGTGCGCTGACGGTGGGAGCGGCGAGAACGGCCAAGGCGGGCAAGGCTTGGGGGGCGAAGTTGTAGAGAGAGGCGCGAATGACGATGTGTCACACTTCGAAACGGATAGAATAGAATATGAAGTGGATATTAATGAAGAAATGGTATATTGTGAGCACTTCAGACCAATACGATGATCCATCATAAATCTGTAATGTAAGGCGTGGCCGTAGAAAGAGCACAACTGTCGCCTGGCCCTCGAATCTAGTTCTTCCTCAACAGGGTGAGAGCTTCCGACAGCAAGCGGGCAATCTGCTTGCCATCCTCCCAGACAAAGTCATGATCGTGGGTCAAGTCCTTGACGATGGTGCACTCCACCCCGTCCTTCTTCAGCTTCGCAGCCATAGTATCGATCTCAGGCTCGTCGACCAAGGAGTCTTCCGGCGACCAGGCCAGCAAGATAAGCGGCTTGGTAGGCAGAGCATCCTTGAAGCTCCCTGAAAAGGTGGCCGGAACAACCTTGTTCCAAGAATTCTGGTCGTCTCCAAAGGCACCGGCAATAAATTGGGTGTAAGTCTGTTCGTGGCGGGCATTGAGGTTGTAAAGTTCGTATATGCCGGAAACGCCGATAAACGCAGTTGGCATCTCGACCTCCGGCGGAGGGGCCGCGCCCAGCGCAACGGATCCCATGGGCAGTTGAAGGGCCAAGGTAGCGCCGGCCGAGTGCCCGATGAGGATATAACGGTCCCCGATTTGATATTCACGCTGTAAGAATGCAAGGGCTGACCAGGTGTCGCGGAGGTGATCCGGATGTTGAGCACAACGAAGTTCTGCGGGAGAAGTGACGTCGGGGTCTTGCGGGTAGAGAGGGTGTGGAGAGAGACGGTAGTCAATGCTGATGAAGCCGCGAATCTCAGACCTGGGGATGGACCTGGACTTTAAGATTTCCTGGATAGAAGCGCCAAAGTCTTG